TCCCAGCCCCATTGCAGGAGCGAGCAAGACAATGGGAGCCTGCTTCGTCTGTCTGTCTTTCTCTATGTCACTTCGCCTCTCAAATAGACGCACAACCAAACATTTGAAGAAGACTCGGTGACTTGATGAGAAAGTCCCTTGGTTGAGGACCATAACCGCCCGGGGGCCTCCTGCCACCACCCAGCCTTCTCCTCCCTGCTCCCAGAAGTTTCTCTGAAGGAAACGTTCTCACTGAGACCCATTCTCAGCACTTCGCAAAAGCCCCCCTCAGACAGCTGACCCCATCTGCAAGGATCCTAGCCACCCTGGAGCCACTCAGGGCTTGGGCTGTGCCACCCATAGCCCTCACCTATTGCCATGGAAGAACCGCCTGAAGCCAAGACCAAGACCGCACACCCGGAAGCCTGCCACGGTGCAAGGAGACTCTCCCGAATGGACCGCCACCCTCCAGAGCTGGCCAAAGACAGCCTTCCCTTTCCCTCCCCCTCCTGCCTGCTGGTCCATTTTGAATATAGTGACATAAACAGCACATACTTTTGAATATTGAGTATTTTCCCATGTGCTTTGAGATTGGGTTCATAGCACTAGGGTCCAAATTCATCCATACAACTTTGTGTTTTCCGTGTAAACTCTTCAACCTGTTCTCTATAACCAACGGCAGGACAGGCATGGCCATGGAAGGGGGCTCAGGTGTCTTGAAAAAGGGGCAGGAGTGGAAATGCTTGGGTGCAGGGCGGCATTTCTTTGATATCACTGCTCTCTCTTTCACAGTTACAGCCTGCCTCTCACCTGCCCCGCCAGAACCGGTCCTTCCCCAGCTTACACCTGGAGGACAACAGGGCGTTGTGCCCCAACCAGCCAACCAATAGAAGAGGTTTAGGTTAGAGCACAAACCCCAAAACAGAGAGACCATCTAAAGGGCGAGAGAGCCAGGAAGTAGGAAGAGAAAGAGAGGAAGTGAAACCCTGAAAGATGAGCTTCGTGGGCAGAGGATAGAAGGAGGGCAAGGGAGACCCCAAAGTGGAGGTGACAACTCCCAGGGTGGGGGAAGAATCCATCTTCCACCAACCAAAATGAAAACAGGTTTGAAATCCAAAACAGCCCACAACTAACAGCAACACTTCGGATCCCAGCAGGTTACAGAATCTTTCACATTCTCCTAGCTGGTTTTCTCTTAACCTTGTGTTTTTCTGCAACAATTCCTTTTGAAAAATTCCAGTTTTGTCCTAGGCTGCTACGGTGAGAAGGGACACACGCACTCCTAGGGCGGCCATGATGCCGGCAGGCAACTCTGCAACATAATGGTTGTGCCTCCTCCTGGTTCTAGGCTTCTCCTAGGAGCAGGGTTTGGAGGACAGACGGAGAGCTGCAGCCGGGGCAGTGGTAAGAAAAAGCCTACCGAGGACGGGGGGCTTCTACTGCCTTTGAATCTTGCAGCACATTCAAGGGTATTTCCCCCACTCTCAGACAACAAACACGACTCGCCCAAAGCATCACTCCTGGCTCTTAAAGTTCAAGTTCCAGTAGGGCCCTAAAGTGGGAGAAGGAATCTGAGGCTAGTCTGATGGGATCAGGAGTCTTCTGTTCTTCGTGGTCTGGAGGCCGACTGCGTGCTGGGACGGCTCCCAGGGAGCAGAGCGTCACTGAGGCCGCTCTTCACCCTCGCCCTCACGTCGTTCCCATCTGACTGATCCTGTGCCCTCTCCCCCACTATCTGTCCCTCGGACTATCCCAGAAGGTCTAAGGGAGAAGGCTTTGGAGCCCCTTCCTGCTGCCTCCCATTCATCACCCCCCCCCATCTTCTTTCTGCGCATTTGCCCAGGGGATGGGAAAGGGGGTGGGAGAGCTGGCAGGAACTGTCTCCGGGGGAACTTCACTGTCAAAGACAGGTGCGAACCGCACCGCTGAAGCTTTCAACGCCTCACCAGCCTTGGGACCAACTGTTAGCACACGGAGGCAGCAATGCAGGTTTCCCGTGTATAGCTCAGGAAGTATGCCGCCTAGAGTAGTGGGCTAGAAGTCCCCAAAGGAGGAGGTAGACCTCCCTTGGAAACGGGACGTTCTTCGTCCATGCGGATGGCAAGCAGCAGGGGCAAGGTCATTGCCTTTCCATCCAAACAGAGGATGGGGCCTTGGCTCAGACACTCCCTACTCCTGTCTCTGCTGCTCCTCCTTGCCCTCGCTCGCCCCCCACTCCTCACTTAGGGACAGAGCAGGGCAGGGGTTTCGTGTCTCCATCTGCCTACCCCTTAGAACAAGTCATCTCTGGCCCCTGCCGTTACCCTCAGCCCCTCAATACCTCCTTGTGACCATGAGACCCTTTCAACCCTTCCCACCGGCAGGAGGGAAGGACGTGGGTGGAGTCTTTGAGATGTGCTCCTGCCCATCACTCTGCCTCCTCCTGGACATTTCTTACATCTGGAGTCACCCAGCCATGGCCGCTCCCCGAGAAAGTCATTGTCCCTTGTGCATGGCCCTCCCGCGCCCAGAGCGGGCCTTGCCAGTAGGAGCATCAGAGAGGATGGAGGACATTTTCCGAAGGCCCAGGAAGCCCTGGGCCTATTGGGAATATCCTTGTTGTCCTACTAAACACCTTCCAGGGTAAGCAAGAGCAGAAAAGAGCACCCTTGGGTGTTGGGACGCGCCTGCCTGGTGGCCTTGTGCCTCGGGCCATCTTCTCCTTCCCCTGTGCTTGCCTCTCACCACAGTCTGTGGATTCAGGTTCCCCACACCTCAGCGCTGGCGGGGTCCTGCACCTCCTCTCTGGCCTGTGTGATGTCCCCTCTGGGGGAAGAAGACATCACCCACGCATCCCAGCCACAGCTGGCTTCAGGGCCCTGTTCCACAGCTGGGCCTCCTTCCCAGCCACCCCCAGTGGATCCGACATGATCCAGCTCCAGCTTCGCTGACGGCCAGCCTGCTGCGCGCCCCTTTCCCACCGCAGCGCTCCATCGCTCTCTCCACTCCAAGGCCAGCAGCCCCTGTCCTGATGTTACCACCCCTGCCCTCGTGACCCGCTGGGATGCCGCTGTCTCGCCCCATCCCAGCGTGCTAAACGGAGGCTCATTCCAGGCCCGGTCGATTGCTTCACTAGCCCCCACTCCATGGGAATGAAGAAGGAAATCAGTTCCCGGCAGCTGACGTCTCAGCTTCGGCTCTCAGGAGTGCCCTCCCGGGTCTGAACCAGAGTCAGGCCATTAGGGGACTCTGAGGAGCTCCTGAAAATGGACATCAGTCAGTCTATGTAATGCTTGCTGGGACCCCCAGGGACTCTTTGAGAACTTGGCTTGGTAAGTGAGTGAAACCGGATTCAGTGAAAACGGGGAGAGGAATGACAAGCCTGCTCGTTCCAGGGCTGTCTTGGCTGCGGCTGGCTTCAGCCTCTTGTCATTTGGCCATCGTCTCGGGCCTCCTCAGCCTCTGGCTTCTAGGATCTTTTCTCCTGTCTCTCTCCGGCCCGGCCCTCATTCCCCCTGCCCCGACGCTGTACACCAGAGCTCCTCGGCTTGGGGGGGGGCTGGTCCCGGTGGCTTTGGACTTGCCACTGTGGCCGAAAGCCAGCCCCCAGCCAACCCACAGGAAGCCTACAGATGGCACCCAAAGTTCCTTTAGCAGCACCTTCTTTCAGCTCTACCATCCTGACAACTGCCTCAGATTCAACCACTTGATAAGAGCGAACACGCATCAGCGAGGGTCAGAAGGGCCAAAAGAAACCCAGGATGACGTGGGGGGGGGGGGGTCCTTGTTTCCACTCAGAGCCTCCAGGAGCTGTACTCAGGTGCCTCAGTCATCTCTCAAACAGAAAATGGCTCCCTTGCCTCCAGGCTTCCTGAGGGAGTCTCCCCCGCCCCCTTCGGCCCTCAAAGCCCAGAGGATCCCTGAGTGACTTGACACTTGTGACAATGATCGATGGAAGTTTCCAGAAGAGAGTGAATCATCCTGCCATTCCCTTTCCCCAGGAGGTGGGTTCTCCCCACCACCCCATCCCAGCACTCATGATGACTGTCATGGATACGGGGACACACACGCACGCACGCACGCCCGCCCGTCCCCAGGGCCTGCCCTCACCACATCTGATTCTACTTTTCATAACCGTCCACCTCGGGTCCACAGCACACGGCGACACCCTTAACTCTTTTAGTCAATCCTTCCTTCTCAGGCCCTCAACGAGAGCCGGCTTCTGCAATTCTCAGAATACAGGAGTAGCCAGAGAGGACGACGGGAACCTGTCTGTTCTATGTCTTCTCGCTTCCTCGTGCATTTGAACTACTCCAGGCGAGCAAGTCCCTCTCCCACCACTCCGCGAGGCGGAGAAGTAATAGCTAGCACTTACTGAGTGATAACTATGCACCAAGCGTGGTTTATTATTTTTATTTTTGGCTCAGGGTTTCTAGAACTCCAGGTCTCACGTCTCTCTGTCACACTTTCCATCTCTTAACTTCTTCTTTTCAGCTCTGACTCCATCTCCTAAAAGGCTATTAGGGGGAACCCTGACACCCTCCAGAAACCACATTTTCTGCAGTGCCATCTTTCAGAGAAGGGCCACCGCATCTCTATGCCGCAATCGTCTCCCGGCCCCGGCCTCCCCTGCCTTCGAGGGAACGATGCCGGCCGGGAGGCAGGTGCCCATTTCCGCGGCCAAGAACACCACAACCGCCTCCCCGCCCGCCGGCCGGTCTGGCCCCCCGATTCCTCTGACCGGAAGCCCCCAGGAGCAATCCTATCATTTCACCCAAGTCCCAGAACCAGCCCGAGCCCCAGGAGTCCGAGCCCCAGCGGTCCAAACGAGGCTACAAACGCTGCCCTGAGCGCCCCGTCCCCCGGGAGCCACCCAAGTCCTCTGTCTCGGTAACCGGCCACCTCCCCGCCGCTCACTCCCCACCAGCTTCTTAACAAGGCAAGACCCCCTCATTAAGTGACTCATTCCATATGACACGCCCGCATTCTCTTCCCCAAACGTGTTCCTTCTGGGGGGGGAGAAACTGCCTATCACCCTTTACAAAGAAGACACTGGACTGTGAGGAAAAAGGTAGTTGAAACGGTTGAACTAAAGACCGTTACCCCAGAGTCTCGCGAGGCGAGAACTGGCTGGTAACCGTCACCGCGCGCTTCCAAGTTCATCATTCATTGGCCCACGGACCGATCAGTCACTTCTGCTGGGCCAATAAGCGGCAAAAGCCTCAGCGGAAACCGGAGATTAGAGGCGAGGCCAGTGGTTTCCCAGGCTATTTAAGTCAGTGGACCTGGCCTTGTGCTACACGCTTGCTGCTTTCGTTCCTTCCCTCTGTGCGTTATGGGAAGGTGGGCTTGGGGAGGGGACAGTTGGTTAGCCTAGACCGCCCGGATGCTAAGGCCTTGGGAATGGAGGAGACGAAAAGAAGCTTTAGAGTATTAGGAAGTTGCCCTGGGTAGGTCCCGCCGCATCCTTCCCTCGCTGTGGGACCCCGGGCCCGGCTCTTCCCCCATCCTGGACCCGGTTGCTTTTTCAGAAGAAGGTCGCTTCCGCACGATCCCAGAAATGCCTTTACTATATGGCATTTGGGGAGACTCCGTGCCTCAAAAAAGGGGCAAGGGAGAAAACCAGCTTAACCCCAAGCCGGTTCATTGCAAACCTAAGGGCTCCAGGACCCAGAGCTGGGAGCATGCGCAGAAGGAACGGAACGCCTAACGACACGGGGGATGGGCGCGGACGCGAAGGGCTCCCGAGTGGACGGGCACGGTGGCGAGGGCGTCTGTGGAAGAAGCCCCCGCGCCACGGCCCGGCGACTGGCTTCACGCCCACACGCCCCTCCCCACGCAGCTCCCTGCTAACGCACACGGCTCCAGGCTCCTGTTTGTGCCCAGCCCCGGCTGTTGAGGGCATTTGGGAAGCAAACGAGTGGCTTGGCGCTGTCTGCCTCGCTCTCTGCCTTTGACACACACCAGTAAAAGATAAAGGAAGATGTAGGCTCAGTATGTCAAACAGGGAGAAGGGGCAGGAATCAAAGGCTTGGGACCCTCTGTAACGCACGGATGGGTTCTTTTTTTTGTAGTTTCCTGATGAAAGATCCTTTTGAAAGCTTGCTTCACCCTCTTCTGGCCGAGTTGAGCAGGAAGAGCTGCCAGTAAGAGTTTGCCCCCTGCACTGGCTGCCTCCTCTGTTTCCTCAACCAACAGCACCAACTGCCCCCCACCCCACCCCCCGCATCTGTATGCCTCGGAAGCTGACAGTGACCGTTGGGTTTTTCCAATGGACACCACAACTCCATTCCCCACAGCCTCTAGGGAAGACAGAATAATTGGTTGGCAGAGGTGAGTGTGTCCAGGGAGAAAGGAACGCTCCCTCCTCCCCCCAGCCCCCTCGCCATCGCCGGGGCTCTCCCAGTTTGCACTTCTGGCCGCTGCCCCGGAAGGATTTCGCTGGGAGGCCGAGTCCCTCGGGCCGACTCTCCCGTCGGCTGCTCTGCTCCGGGGCCCTCAGCTCCCAGAAAGTTTGAGAAATTGTTTTTCATTCAGCACAGGGGCTTAGAGGGGTGGTCCCTAAGTGAGCACAGCCGCTCTGACTCCCGGGGGCTTCTGGGTACTTGACATGGGCCGTGTGCGTGAGAGGCCTGTGACTACGCCTGGTTAGTGTGTTCCGACCCAGCGCACCTCTTGCTGCTCGTTTCTCCACCTCCCCACCCCCCGCCGCTGTCTCTCTCACCCCCCCTCTTCTCCTGTTTCCCCTCTTTCACTCTGTGCCCCTGGCTGCCTCCTTCCTGAGCCGCTCTCTCTGATTTTGATCTTTTCCTTTTGTTTCCTCAGGCCCAACCTGAATCCTGGAGAAAATGTGATAGTAGCAGCCCACGCGGAGGAGCTGGAACCTGAACACCAACCGACCCCAACGCACACCGCCCCAGCTGGAGGCAATGCCCCCCACCCCCAGCTCTCCAAATGCTTCCTCAGTTACCCTGGAGGAGCCGGGTGTGCGACAGACGGGGGGGCCCCAGCTCGCACACTCGTACCCAACACCCACCACGATTAGAACCACGGACCCCGGCCTCCCGGGCCTGCCCCCAGCGCAGGCCCCCACAGAAGCAAAACACAGTCACCTTAGACTCTGGCATACTGAGACCAGGCCCGCGCCTGGGAGCCCCCCTGCCTGCCTCTTGACCAGCGAATAAAAACACTGAAAGAGGACTCGCGTGTCCGCTCTGCGTTTGCTTCCCGGCGCAACCGCACCTCCCTCCTCTTCTCGGTTGCAGCCTGAGACCACATGGATAAGGAGGGGGTGAGAGGTGAGATGGGGGAACTGGCAGGCTCACTTGAGGCAGGTGTTTGTGGGTGCAGATGCCCCGTGCCCCTTAAGTAAAGGTTTCCCTGGGCACCAGACGCAGCTCTCAACGGAGACCCTGGCCCCTCCCCTGTCAGGACAATTGTGTGACAGATTTACGTGTAGGGTTTCTTTGAGTTATTGCAAATAACGGGTGGGTTCCCATAATGAACTATTATGCAGCTGTTAAAAATGTACTGGCGTATGGGCACCAATTCAAGGCTTGGCTGAACCACTTTATTTCTTTTAAGATTTTTTTTTTAAAGAATATTTATTTGAAAGAATTACAGAGAGAGGAGAGGCAGAGAGAGGTCTTCAATCCAATGGTTCACTCCCCAATTGGCCGCAACAGCCAGAGCTGCGCCTATCTGAAGCCAGGAGCCAGGAGCTTCTTCCAGGTCTCCCCCATTGGTGCAGGGGCCCAAGGACTTGGGCCATCTTCCACTGCTTTCCCAGGCCACAGCAGAGAGCTGGGTCGGAAGAGGAGCAGCCGGGACTAGAACCAGTGCCCATATGGGATGCTGGCACTTCAGGCCAGGGCATTAACCCGCTGCGCCACAGCGCCGGCCCCGGCTGAACCACTTTCTATCCAACTCCCTGCTAACGCGCCTGGGAAAGCAGTGGAAGATGGCCCACGTGCTTGGGCCCCTGCACCCGTGTGGGAGACCCCAGTGAAGCTCCTGGCTCCTGGTTTCCCTGGCCCTTCTGGCCATTTGGGGAGTGAACCAGCAGATGGAAGAGTCCTCTCTATGTCTCTCCTTCTCTTGCTGTGGCTCTAACTTTCAAATCTTTTAATTAAAAAACATATTTGCAGGAGCTGGAGTGTGGCATAGCAGGTAAAGCTGCCATCTGCAGCGCCGCCATCCCACATGGACCCGGTTGGTGTCCCGGCTGCTCCAGTTCTGATCCAGCTCCCTGGTAATGCACCTGGGGAAGCAGCAGAAGACGGCCCAAGTGCTTGGGTCCCAGAACCCACATGGGAGACGCAGAAGCAGCTCCTGGTTCCAAGCCTCAGCCCAGCCCAGTCCCGGCTGTTGCAACCATTTAGGGAGTGAACCCGCAGATGGAAGCTCTTTCTGTCTCTCCCTCTCTCTGTAACTCTGCCTTCCAAATCGTTTTTAAACAAGAAAGTGACATGTTTTGGGGCTGTTAGGGCCAGTGGTCCCCACCAGTGACAGCCCGGGCCGGTGGTGTGGGACAGCCCTTGCGGGAGGCAGAGCCCGCAGCCCCGCCGACTGTCCAGAAGGTTCAGATCGGGCGGAGGACTAGATGAGTCTGTTCCTCCCATCACCCCGCCTCAGTTTTCCTTTCTCTTACACCTCCTTTGAGCTGCATCAACAAACACGCCATTCTCAAGAGCCAAAGACCTGGGTTCAAATCCTGCCCCCAGGGACCCCTGTACCTAGGGAACTGGGATATGATGCAGTCTCACGGAACCGTGGCCCCTTCCCCGCAGGGCAGCGCCCGCTCAGGCCTCTGGGGCCGGTCAGCTGCTTTTCCCCTTATGGAATGCTGTTCCCCGACCTCTCCGGGTGGTTAATTCCTCGCCACTTCGGTTCCAGCTCAAATGGCCCTTCGGAGAGTCTCCTCACTGCCTTCCGTCCTTCTCCATAACATGTTTCTGTTTGATTTCGCTGTTCCCTAACTCAAATTCTGTATTTGCTGGCTTCTGTCTCCTGGAAATTAGCTTTTAGGGGAGCAGGCATCCTGTCTGTCTTGAGCACTGCTCTGTCCCACTGCCAAGAACGCTGCCTGTCGCTAATGAGTCAGGCACCGGCGGCATATTCTGCATCGTGTTTATTTAATCTTCCCAAAAGCCTCGTGAGACTTCCGTCTGGGGGAGAGGTTGAGGACAGAGAGGTGACATCCAAGGAGACGTGAGTGGCAGAGCCAGAATGAGAACCAATTCCAGAACGTTCCGCCTCGCTCCCCTTCCCTCCCGTGTGGCCGTCAGGAGGCTTCCTTTGGAGAGAGGTGGTGCTGGGGTGGTTGAAGGATAGGGAGCGTCAAGAGCTAGGTCAAGTTCAAAGTAGTTAAAAAAAAAAAAAAAAGGAATAAAGTGAGCCTGGTCGCGGGAAGCAGGGGAGGAGAGGGGCCTGGCTGCAGGTCAGCATCCTCAGGGCCTAGAGGCCGTTTTGTGTCTGAGCAGCCCACAGTCTCTGCGTACGTAGACACTGAACAGCGCCCACGGGCTGCAAGTGGTGCAGAGCACCCCACCCCCTCCCCCGACAGGGGCTGTGCGTGTCCCTAACTGAATACCTACTGTGTGTTCCAGGCGGCTCAGGACCCGCTAAGGCCTGCGGGCTCTTGTCCTTGTTCTCTGGGTGTGGAGGGCACCGCCTGGAGCCCGCCGGGTGTGTGGTTCGCAGGGGTTACCTGCCCAGAGCGGAGACAGGTGGGGGATCTCAGTCATCATTAAGGCTTATTGACCAGCACGGCTGGAGTTTCCCAGAGAGAGGAATTAATCTCGCAGCCGACTGAGAGCAGGCATCCTGCTGGGAGTAGTTACATAAATTCTGTTGCTCAAATTAATTAGGATTGTGATTCATTTGTTTAATGAGGAAGAATCTGAAGGTGGCGAGAGGGAGGCCAGCCCGGCCTTTCAGAAGCCAGGCAATCCCAGGGGACACTGCGGCAGGTGGGAGCCGGGCGTGATGGGGGTGGAAGGACTCAGCCTGCCAGTGATGGAAAGAAACTGAGGCAGGCAGGTGGGCGGGCAGCCAGCCGGGCGCGGGGCTCCTTGGGAAGAGGCTGCGGCTCCACAGCTCCTGCAGCTCAAGGCCGGGAGGTCTCCAGGCTCTGGGCGTGGAGTGTCCGCTCACATCTGTCCAGGGTCGCGCCTCCTACTCCGCCTCTTCCCAGCCCTGGGGAAAAAAGTGCCAGCCTCTGAAATCATCTGGGTAGCAGTCCCAGGACCCCTCCAGCCATTTATCTGCCAACCCCAGCCCCAAAAAGGTGAGATGTTATTGTGTACCAGAAGTAGGGAAAGCCCAGACCTAGCATCGAAGCATGGAGAAGTTATTCTCCCATCCACACTGCTACTTCTAAAGAGGCCCCTCCCTTCCGCCCAACATGCCCCTGTCGCCTGTTCAAGGTAACCCATTAATACAGGTGAGAAGTGCCATCATTGTGGCCTGTGACACCAGCACCCCATGTTGGTGCCAGTTCGAGTCCCAGCTGTTCCACTTCTGATCCAGCTCCCTGCTGGTGCACCTGGGGAGGCAGTGGAAGATGGCCCAGTGCTTGGGCTCCTGCACCCACTTGGGAGACCTGGAGGAAGCTCCTGGGTCCTGGCTGTGGCCTGGCCCAGACCTGGCCATTACAGCCATCTGGAGAGTAAACCAGCAAATGGAAGACCTCTCTCATAAAAATAAAAAATAAAAAAATAAATACAGGTGATAGCCAAGGTGGTGTCTGGATGAGGGTGGACACGGAGGGGAAGGACTCCGGGGGCCACGATGCATGCTCCCGTCTGTGTGGGCTGTGCCCTTTGGGATAGGAGAGAAAAGGTACTTCCTGGCGGCTCTGGAGTGAAGGGGTCAGAGCTGGGAACTGTTTGGAGGGAGAGAGGCAGGATTTGCTCAGGCAGGGGAGATTAATGTGCCCCCCGTGGCTTCGTCATCCACAGCTGCAGAAGTCCCCAGGGAGCCCTGTGTTCTTTCTAGGCTCCGCCACCTGTTACTGTGCCGGGCTGGAGTGGCGCAATCTGGATGAGCGAGCAGCCCGCCCAAAGCAGGAGCATCGGCAAGGGCACGCCTCTGACTGCAGCCAGGCAGTCGCGCCTCCCGGAGGGAAAGCCGCAGGCGCCAAGGGGCACCAGAGATGGCAATCCCGCCCCCCCCCTCGCCCCGTGCCTCGGCTTCCTCCTCCTCCCAGCTGCTCTGGGGATGTGGGGGCTGCCACTCTCGCTCCCTAGGGACTAGCCCGGCTTTAGCAGCCGCCGAATGCTTTTTTTCAGTGTTAAGTCCCGTCTCCTCACTTCTCATGCTTTCAAACTTTCCAGAGACTTCCAACGCATTCTGAATTGCTACAAAATAGCAACCACCGGGCCAGGGAGTCCAGGGTGCTCTGGCCCCGCCTTCCTCTTGGCCCCTCCCCAGCTTCGCCCTGTCCACCCCAGCATCTCCTCTGGAGCCTTGCATACAAGCCCACTCCCTCCGTGAAGCCGTGGCATTGGCTGCTCTCTTCCCCGGAACGTTTGGCCCCAGCTCCTTGCTAGAATGGAAACTCATTTATTTCTCTGCTTCTGTGTCACCTCCTTGGCGAGGGCTTCCCCAGCGAGCCCATCTTAAAGGAGCCAGGCCCCGTGCGTCACCCGTCACCTGGGGTAAGCTGCCGTCACTTTGGGCCACTTTTCCTCGGGTTGCACTGCTGTCTCCCTGCCCTGATGGAAGCTGGAGGCCTTCCCCGGTGCATCAGTGGGGCCCATCCAGCGGGGAGAGCAGCAGCTGTCCTGCTTGGTGACAAGATAACCAGCGGAGCTGCTTGGAAGCCTACGAGGAGAGAGCAACCCGAAAGGGAACAGGGAAGCAAGACAGAGGTGATAACTGCGGGAAGCCGAGGGGCCTGTCCGAAGCAACGCACGGGGAGGCGGAGCCCACAGACCTTTCTGGAAGCTGGCAAGTCCAAGACCACGGCGCCGGCAGAGTTGGTCTCCGGGAAGGGCTCGCCCTCCGCTTCCTAGACGGCACCGTGTTGCTGTGCCCTCTGGCGGGGACAGACGCTGCGCCCTCGTGCGGCGGCAGGAGGCCCGGAAGGCCAGGCGGCTTTCGAGAGCCTCTTGTATAAGCACATTAACCCGAGGGGGCATCTTGCACAGCAAGTAAGACACCTCTGGGAGGGGCCGGCGCTGTGGCATAGTGGAAAAAGCTGCCACCTACAGTGCCGGCATCCCATATGGGCGCCGGTTCGAGTCCCAGCTGCTCCCCTTTCGATCCAGCTCTCTGTTGTGGCCTGGGAAAGCAGTAGAAGGGGCTGGAGCTGTGGTGCAGTAGGTTAATCCTCCGCCTGCAGCGCCAGCATCCCATATGGGCGCCGGTTCTAGTTCTGGCTGCTCCACTGCCAGTCCAGCTCTCTGCTGTGGCCTGGGAAAGCAGTAAATATGGCCCAAGTCCTTGGGCCCCTGCACCTACGTGGGAGACCAGGTAGAAGCTCCTGACTCCTGGCTTCGGATCGGCGCAGCTCCGGCAGTTGCGGCCATCTGGGGAGTGAACCAGCGGATGGAAGACCTCTGTCTCTCTCTCTCTGTCTCTACCTCTCTCTGTAACTCTGTCTTTGAAATAAATAAAATAAATCTTTCAAAAAAAGAATACGGGGATCTGAGCTAAGACTGTGACACTTGGGGACCTTGGGAGGGAAGGAAAGGCCCCGAGGAACTGCGGCCGCTCCGCCGGGCACGGGGCCCTCGTGGAGGCAGGCTCCTTGCCCCTGCCCCTCACGAACGGGCAAGGTTTCTGAGCGGAGAGGGCCCATCCCAGCAGGAGATGGGAGACAGGACTTGACTCAGTAGTTCAATGGCAACTTGACAGAGGAGGGGCGGGGGGCTGCGCAGAGAGACGCAGAGACGAGGACCTGCGGGAAGCCATCCCTAGGCCACCAGGGGCGTCCGTGTGCTGGGAGGGAAGGGCTGCCTGGCGGGAGCTGCAGCCAGCAGAGGGCACCGCCACTACCCCTGCATCTAATCTGAGCGCTGGCCTAGAAGGAGGACCCTGGCCTCGCTCTCCTCCTAGCTCCCAGTCTCCTGCCAGCTTCACCCACTGGCCACACTGATGGAGCCATGGGCCAGGGAGCCCGCGGATCCGCTCCAGGGGCCGGCCTTTGAAGGCACAGGGCGGTGCAGAGGAGGGCCCTCCCCTGCTGGAGAGGACAGCAGTCCAGAGACCCTCCGCTTCCTCCCAGAAGGCTCAGGGAGTGGGGACAACTTGCCAAAGGTCATGTAGTCAGTTAGGATGAGGCCATCATGACCCACTGCATACGGGGCCTGCATGGAAGGCAGCCAGGTGGGGCCGGCCCAGGGCAGATCCATCTTAACCAAAGGAAGGCAGTAGAGTAGGGGTAGCAGGACAGCCAGGTGCTGGCCACACTCCCCACCCCTGACACCTGGAAGGTGACACGCTTGCTTCCTCGTGGCTTTGTGATCTGCTGCCTGCCCTGTAGCCCCCACCCCCTCTCTCAAAGCACAAGGACAAGAACCTAGACCCGGGATTGGCAGGGACAAGGGCGCGAGGCTCTGCTTGCCTGCTAGCCACCCCTGCTCACCAAGCCCCTGGAGCTGCTCACTGATCCAGCACGAGACGGTTTAATTGAAGTCATTACAATAAATGGTGCAGAAAAGCAATGCCCTTTGTTTGCCAGAGCCTCAGAGAAACAGGAAGGCGGGGCAGGGAGCGCCGCGGCAGCCACTGCAGGTAGATGACAGCTGTCACAGCAGAAAGGGGACAAGACTGATGAGTCGGGGCGGGACTTGGGGCGGCAATTGACGCGCCCGCATTCCACATTGGAGGGCCTGGTTTTGAGTCCCAACTCTGCTCCCCACTCTAGCTTCCCGCTAATGCGCACCCTGGGAGGCAGCAGGTGACAGCCCAAGTACCTGGGTCCCTGCCACCCATGTAAGAGACCTTGACTGAGTTCCAGGCTCCTGGATTTCGTCTGGCTCAGCCCCGGCTCCTGCAGGTATTTGGGAACCAAATCAGTGGATGGAAGTGCTCTCTCTCTCTCTCTCCCCGTCACCACACACACATACACACAATTCAGGGAGTCCCAGGTTCAAATCCTGCCAGGTCACTTGTAAGCTCTGAGATCTTATCAAGTCCCTTTCTCTGCTCACGTCTGTGCCCTTGTCCAGGAAAGTGGGAGCATTGCTGCTGCCTGTCCTTGGAGGCTCTGCTTGGCCTTGAGCCCTGCCTACAGCTTCTGCCCCGCCTCCAGCTGCCTCCCACCTCTCCCTTCACCCTGCAGGCACCCAAGTGTGTGCCCCACTCCCCACTCCTCAGGCAGGCCCCTCCTCCTAAAATAGCCTTCTCACTCCTTTCCCGCCATTCAAGACTCACACCCGAGTCACCTCCTCCGGGCAGTCGTCCCTCACTCAGCCTGCCTTCCCCTGAAAGCCTCTTAGCACTTTCAGGCTGTGACACCCATCACGGCATTTAATACCGTAGGGTCTCCTACCTTCCTCACCTGCATATGCCTAACACAGACCCAGCATCGTGACTGTTGGGGTGGGAGCGGTGGCAGGCGGTGAGGGGCAAAGATTTCTCAGGGTCCAGGGCACGGCCAGTGTACAACAGCCCCTGCTAGATGACAACACCCAGGAAGCCCTGAGCTCCCTTCCCAGGTACCCAACACGGCCGGGGACACGGCAGCCTCTTCTGTGGCCAGACCCAGCTGTCTGCCTTATACCCGATGCAGTAGCAGGAGGATGGAGGACTCAGGTTGTGAAACCATAGGATTGCAGCATTAAAAGAAACCTTTTTACGTAGCCAAAGAGATGTCTTGAGACCTCCAAGTCTGAGTGAGAAGCAGCCTTGCCACTGGTACATGGGTTTCTTGGGATACTTTCTGGGGACTCAGGCAAAGCCCAAGTCATAAGGGAAGCCATGTCTAGGCACACATCCAGCTGACAGCACCAACCATCGGCCATCTCCGCCTGGGACATCCAGCCCGTCAAGCCTCCAGACGCCTGCAGTCCCAGCCATGACCCGACATGGCCATAAGAGCCTCCCTGCTGAGCCCAGTGCGGCCATGGCACTGGACGCTGGATGCGGTCCCAGGAAAGAACAGGAAATGATGGTTCTCCCCCCGAGAGAGGCTGCAGCTCAGACATGCCTGGTGACTTCACTGTCGTCACCCCTCCCCGCCATCGGAGAAGCAAAAGACAAATCTGGGGCAGGAGCAGAGGTGTGGGGGGAGAGGGAGGGAGCTGAATGCTATGGAAAGCATCCCAAGTTGATTCTGTTTAGGGAAAATGGTTCCTTAAGTGTGCATGAATTTTTCTAACGTTCAAAGAGCGGCTTGCACCTTCTTACAGACTGCACGGTTCATTGTTCTTATTTCAGCCCTGGGTTGGTTCTATTTTTCCTTCTCCCCATGAGATAATTAGCCACGAGCTTACCTGAGTACATTCCTCATGTCAAGAAGACAATGGTTTCAAAGGCAGGGAAAGCGCAGCCCCCGCGGAGGGCCCCCAGAAGACGGCCAAGCGGCAAAGCAAAGTCTCCCAGGAAAGTGCCTTGTTTCCCGAAGGATCCATCATCAAAGGAGCCCCGACAAGCAGGAGGGCACACGGCAGAGTGTGTGAGCAGGTGCTGCCAGGTGGAACGGGGCGGGGGGTGCTTGGTCTGAAATGAAGCCGGGGACCAAACTCACTCCTCTCCCTACTCACTGAGTCATCCAGCTAACCCACAGAGCCTTGGAAAATCTTGGCTTTGCTTTCTTTCTGTTGCTGTTGTTAGCCCCCTACATTTTAAGCAATATTCCCTTCTTTTATTTATTTGGGAGGCAGAAACACAGAGAAAGAGTTGGGGGTGGGAGAGCTAGCGCCTCTCGGCTAGTTCACTCCCCAGGTGCAGCCGGGAACTCAATCCAGGTCTCTCCCAATTGCTTTGAGCCATCACCACCGCCTCCCAGGGTCTACCCAGGTGAGAAGTTGGAGCTGGGAACTGAATCCAAGCACTGCACAGTGGGACGCAGGCATCTTAGCCACCAGGCCAAACAGCGCCTCCCCAAGGAGAGTGAACTGTTGAAAGGTTCACCCCACCCAGTCTCCAGCTGTGCAGGTGCGGGGAAGCCGCATGCTGTTGTCAGCTTAGAGCCAGGCCACTCACGTCGAGCTCTGAGCTGACAGGAAAAGAACAAAGTCTCAAAAAAGGAACACACATTCCCAAGAGCAACAGCGGAGCCAGGGTGTGCCAAACCGAGGCCGACCCCAGTCCCTTTGAACTGCTCTTAGCCAAACACTGATTCTCTCAGTCCCCTGCTGCCACCATCACGCTGTCCAAAACGTCATCACATAGCCTCAACAAAAAGCTGGGGGGTGACCTTGACAGAGCTCACGAGCTGCTCAGGCTTTGGTCAGCCTCAGCGGAAGGACCGGGATGGCCACCGGTTGCGCCCATCCTCCTCCGCCAGGCCAGCCCAGACACGTCCTCACAGCAGCGGCAGGCGTGGAGGGGAGAAGAGGCAGACGCACCCGCTCACACATGCCTGTTCCAGTGTTTTGCTCGTATCGCATTTGCCAAGATCGGGGACCATTTTTTCAAGCCACCGCACGACCTTGGGCAGGTCGGCGTCCCCTCCCTGAGAATGTCTCTCTGCATTCTGAGCAGGATCCTGGGACTTTGGAGGGTGGCTGAGATCATGACAGAAGACCAGCCGCAGGAAAGGCCCGCCAAGTGCGATGATGTATTTCAAATACGCACGCAGGGCACCGGTTGGGGGAGGGGCGTGTCCACGCTCACAGCGACACAAGGAAAACTCAGCTTCTATTTCTAGAGGAAATTTCAGAATATGATGCACAGGTCTCGGGGGGTGAGACAGCCCAGCCGTGGGCTCGATAAACAAGAAGTGCAGGAAGAGAGCAGATCAAGGGCCGACAACAAGAAGTAAATGATGTAATCGAAGTTACTGTTGAAGAACCTATCAAGGAGAGATCAAGTCAGCGGCAAGTATCAGCGGTGACTCAGGCACGACGTCGTGTTTCTAGAATTCTTGTCTAGTTCAAGGAGGCCAGTGTCCCAGTTTAAAGAGCACCTTGCGCCAGCGGCAGCGACAGCTAAAGGGAACTTGTGCGCATGCTCCTTTCTCCTCCACACCTCCGACAACGCGAGCAGCTGCAGGCGCTGGCACGGGTGGCTGCCCCAGGAGATGGCGGTGGGAGGGACCCGTGCCCACCAGCGTGGTCAAAGGGGAACCTGGGGTGGAATCTTTAATTTTTTTTTATTCAAAGCATTGTTTTTAGGGTACACCGTCACTGAAAATATGGCCCCATGTTAAGGATTGGTTTAAACATACTTAGGAGTGGATATTCAGTCTAGCAGTTAAATCCCCCATGCACCATGTTTGAGCGCCCGGGTGCACACCCTGGGGGGCCCTGGCATGACCCAGGTGAGCGCATCTCTGCTACCCACGTGGGAAACCAGGACTGAGTTTCCAGGCCCAGCTCGTGTCTACCAGCTGTTACGGGCATTGAGGGAGTGAAGCAAGCAATGACATTCTCTCTCTCTCTCCCTCTCTCTCTCATTATTTTTTTATTTTTTAATTAATAAATAATGTCAAACATACTTAAGCCAAAAAAAAAAAGATATTCTAACCAGATGTCCTAATTCAATTCAAGTACATTTTTGAGAAAAAAAAAAAAAAAAGAAAAGAAAAAAACAGGAACACCCTCAGGATAAAACAAACTCAGAAATATGTTATGGCAGAGTATTAGGAAATGAGAGTCATGGGCCTGCTGATGGACTTCTAGAAAGTTCAGAGGGGCCAGCGTGGTAGCACAGTAGGTTAAACCACCACCTGCAACGTTGGCATCCCATAAGGGCACCGGTTCGAGTCCCGGCTGCTCCTTTTCCGATACAGCTCTCTGCCGATAGCCTGGGAAAGCAGTGGAGGATGGCCCAAGTACTTGGGCCCTGCATCCACATGGGAGACCTGGAGGAAGCTCCTGGCTCCTGGCTTTGGATCAGCTCAGCTCTAGCCGTTGCGGCCATTTGAGGAGTGAGCCAGCCGGTGGAAGATCTCTCTCTGTCTCTTCCTCTCTGCCTGTAACTCTGGTCTGTCAAATAAATAAATCTTTGAAAAAAAAAAAAAAAAAGGAGAAAGTAAAAAAGAAAGTGTGGAGACCTATACATAGCCGGCCCCCTGCAGGCAGAGGCTGGGTCTGGTCAGCGTCTCGAAGGAGGGAAGAATCGACCCAGAGGCAAAAACCAAGACCTCTGACAAGCACACTGCCCAGGACTGACCACACTGCCTGCCCCTGCTTCCTCTCCTTTACTGGGGTGTAATTGATAAATAAAAATGGCATATACTGGGGGTGGGGGGCAATGTGACTTGGCAGAGCTACAGAGGGAGAGAGAGATATCGTCCATCTACTGGTTCACTCCTCAAATGGCTGCAATGGCCAGACTGGGCCAGGCTGAAGCAGGGAGCCTGGGGCTTTATCCAGGTCTCCAGAGTGGACACAGGGACCCAAGGACTTGGGCCATCTTCTGCTGCTTTCCCAGGCGTGTTAGCAGGAAGCTGGATCAGAAGTGGAGCAGCCAGGACTCGAACCGGTGCCCACATGAGATGCCGGCACTGCAGGCAGCGGCTTTCCTCCCTGCACCACAGCGCCGGCCCCAAGTGGGCCTGTTTGATACGTGTATATAGTGAAACCTTTGCCACAACCAAGCTAATTTCACATGATCAACTCTCTCTCTTTCTCTCTCTCTCTCTCTCTCTGCTTCTCTCTGTATCTCTGCCTTTCAGGTAAATAAATAAATCTTTATTTTTTTTTTAAATGAAAGAGGAGGGGCTCAAGCCAGCAGCTTGGCACCGCACAGCTGGAAGGCCCTGGTGCTGGGCGGACACCGGCCCCTTGACCTTGCCTGATACTGGACTTCCTGGTCTCCAGACCGTGAACAGGTAAGCCGTTCTTCCCTCGTTGCCCTGACTGCAGTATTCACCTATAACAACAGAAGCCGAACTAAGACACCTCAGCTTGTTAGCAGCGGCTTAGTAAAATCCCCGCTCACTCCGGGAGGTGCAGACAAGAGGTGTGACCTTCCAGTTTGCAGATTAGGCGAGGAGTGGAGCTGAGAGATCTGTAGGCAGCTGCTGGAGCTCATGGATGTGTTAGCAGCATAGCGTGGGGGCCGGTCGGGGCAGAGACGCAAGGCGGCCAGGGTACCTTACATCCGGGAGACACCTGACAGCCCCGGCGGCTGCCCTGTGCTGTGTGCCCCCGGCACACACACACACACACACACACACACGCTGTGCTCGCTTGCTCAGAGAAGAGCCTTCTGACCCATATACTGCACTCCGCTGTGCCTGCCTGGCCATTGCCTCTCACTGACACAACTCACGGCAGAGAGGCGAGCGCCGGCGGTGCAGCGGAGCTGAGCCGTGACCCTGAGCCGCTAACACAATGTCTGATATTTATAGCAACTGTGACTCAGGTACCAGAGAGAAAGGTGCTTGGGATTGTCGCAGACGCCCTCGGGGGCGGGGGGAGGAAGACATCTCTGGGAGAGATTGCGTGGGATCTTTAACCGCCCAGCACATCAAACAGGAAGGGGCAACGCCATGGGTTTGCATCCGGCTAAAAATAATAACAAGAGAGGACGGCCCCGCCAGTCTCTGCCAGGATCGCTCTTCAGATGCTCAGGACGCAGTCCCAGGAGGAGCCCCGAGACCGGCCGAGCTTACAAACTGACACCCCACATTTGAGCTGTTTCAGTTGAGCACTGATGGGTCGGTTTAGATCTATCCCATGCCGCAGAGGCCCTGAGGCGTGTCGTTTGGTCACGATGAGCGTGCCAGGTTGGTCCCATTCCTGCCCAGGTGTTTTCTATGCCTCCCCGGAAGCTTGCCCTCCGGCCGTGTCCTCCCACACCGAGTGAGACCAGACCCCGAGACTGACTTGGGCCGACGGAACAACACGAGGCCAGCACACCACTTGAAAAGCAGGCATAGAGGAGCCAAGAGCATCCCAGAGCAGCCAGCCTCTGGCCGGCGAGCCAGCGACCACAGGGCCCAGCTGAGAGCTGCCAGGCTTGGCCCAGATCACTGAAACTCCCCCTCGGAGCCGTGAGACACACAGATCGCTGCCAGAAGCCTTGGAAAGCAACGATTGCCTGCCAGAGGGTTCACACTCCAAAAAACACACAATCAACAGGCATGTATTGAACGCTCAGCATTCCAAGAGAAAAATTCAGACAGGGCCTAAAGGTACTTGCAAGGGGCCAGAGGATGGACGGGAGGAGACCTGGGGGAAGGGAGATTCAGGAGCGCCAAGACACAGGCCCAAAGAACTAAAAGGCGCTTTTCACTGTTAAAGTCCCGTCACTTGCAACCTCCAGGCCATGGCACCTGTCTGTGCATAAGCCTTCTGGCCCGTGAACCCCCACCCATCCCCAAGGCTCCTCTCCTACGCACAGACTTCCTAGCCCCACGCTGTCCCCCTCCCCACAGCCCCACCCTCTAATTCACAGCCATGGCAGGTGCCAGGGAAGCCCCCTGTGCCCCCCACCCCACCCCCGTGCTCATTAGGAACAAGACGCTCTTAGTTCTGGCCACGCAGACATTTTCCAACCTGGGCTTGCTTGCTGCTGGGAGCTGCAGCAAATCGGCTCAGGGCCTGGTCCTTTCTCTTCCCCAGCGAGCGTCTGCAATGACTCGATCAACCCTTTCAACTCCGAGACCCCTTGGTCACCGGAATCGGGGGTTAATACCACAGCTCAGTTCAGGGGAGCACAAAGGCCATGCGGAGCCGCGATCACCCCTCGCTGGGGACTTCCTCTTTACTCGTGGCAAGACGGAGAAAAGAAAAAATACCAGCAAGATCTAACAAGACCATGTGGAAACTTTATTTCCTACTCCCGCTCCAAGGCCAAGCTCAAGGTCACCTCCCCTCTTGAGAGCTTCCCTCCTCCCCAGGTTGAAATGCTAAGGTCTGCCTGCTCCAGAATCCGTCAGGCCTTTGTGTAAAGCCCTACCCAGAGCCCGTCATGGTTAGGGTTACGGCTGGCTGAAGCGGCAGCTGTCTCTTCCGCTGAGCGTCCAACTGGTTCTTGATTACTCATCAGTCGGAATGTCAGCATCTGGCACAGCGATCCGAATGAGGAAGAGGAACCTTGATGTTCAGTGAATAACCAATGAATGCATGCACGCTCCAAGTGTTCAGCCCGAGGGACACCTCACAGAGAAGCGCGGTCATCAAGGAGGGCTTCGTGGAAGAAGCAGGGCTTCAGATTCTCCAACGGGACCCAGAGTGGAGGACTCGGAGTCTCTGCACGGGGGCCTGCGGACCTGAGCGGGGAGAGAGTTCGCACCTTGGTGTTGGGAAGATGAAAGGAGAATTTGCCACGAAAGCAACATTGAAGGAATTTTTTCAAATGGTGCTAGAGGGCCAGCAAGAGGGCAAGGCTCAGGCAGCAGAATTCGAACTTGAACTTCCGGCCACTCCACCCTTTAACTGCAGGCACCTGGAACAACTCCACTGCGCTCAGTTACCAGGCTGGTGTTTTCACAGACATTTCTTTTTTTTTAAGATTTATTTATTTATTTGAAAGGTAGGGTTAGAGAGAGAGGGATGGGGGATGTTAGTAAAATGGCGCAGTCTTATCTATAGCACAATCTACACCCGGGACACCATCCTAGGCTCTAGCAGCCCCCGCCGCCATTGCTAGAGGCCATTAGCAGGGAGCTGGATTGGAAGTGGAGCAGTGGGACTCGAACCAGCGCCCACGTGGGATGCCGGCACTGCAGGCAGCGGCTTTACCTGCTGTGCCATGGCGCCAGCCCCCTTTCATGGGGACTCCTATTTGTACAGTCTTTATCTTCTGTCAGTCACGCAGCCCCGGTACTTCTCAGCATCTGGTCTCCTGTGCGAAGTCGCGCTGTTCTGCCCCCCTCAGAACACTGGTTCAGCGTCATTTGAAATCACGTCTTGGGAACTGCAACTCCGAACACTCCCAAATAAAGTCCTCTGGCGGTTTCCGTGCTCGGGTTGATGGACCACACTCACCGTCTCCAACTGAAACTTAGCATTTCCTTCCATTTTCTAAATACAGGCTACAAGCCATGGAGGTAGATAGTGTTCCTATCATACATAATACTGCAGCTATCTCACAAATACGCTTATATGGGGCCAGCGCTATGGCATAGCGGGTAAAGCTGCCACCACCTGCAGTGCCGACATTCCAAATGGGCGCTGGTTCAAATCCCGGCTGCTCCACTTCTCATCCAGCTCTCTGCTATGGCCTGGGAAAGCAGTGCACCCATGTGGGAGACCTGGAGGAAGCTCCTGGCTCAGGGCTTCAGATTGACGCAACTCTGGCCATTATGGCCAATTGGGGAGTGAACCAGCAGATGGAAGACCTCTCTCTCTCTCTCTCTCTCTCTCTGCCTCTCTGTAACTCTGCCTTTCAAATAAATAAATAAATCTTTAAAAAAATACCCTTATGTTGATCACTGTTTAAAACAACAGTGATTTTGGAAAAAAAAAAAAACAACAGTGATTTTGGAATGTGTTACTAAAGAAGTATGGTGTTCCTATATCACAAAAATTGCTGTTGTAAATATTTTAATGACAGCTTTCAGCCCAGTTCCTCTATACTCCTGTGAATTTTATGTTCTAAACTCTGTGCTTTTTATCCTGAGAAGGGGTCAGTAAGCTTTATGAAGCCCCCAAACAGCATCCATTGCACAAACTTGGCGGGAGGTAGCTTGTCCCTGCCGGCAGGTGGGAGTGTTAGTCCACGCCGCCCCCCTCCCCCGCAGGAAGACGCTCCCTGGCCAGATGAAGGGAAAAGACACAGCTCTGTGAGCGCGATAAAGCGTCCGTGGAGCGGGGAACCTCTGACCGGCCTTAGACACGCTCTAAGAATCTGGAGAATTCAAATTCTGGAGACTCCAACAGCTCCTCCCAGGGTGGAACCCAGACACTGAGGAGAGAGCGGAGCCAGGAGCCTCCGAGAACCGCCTCCTCACCACACACCGGGCGCTACAGCCGCTCCACTTCCAACCCAGCCACCGCTGATACTCCTGGGAAACAGCGGAGGACGGCCCAAGTGCTTGGGCTCCTGATACCCACGTGGAACACCTGGCTCCTGGCTTCAGCCTGGCCCAACCCTGCCTGTCACAGCCATTTGGGGAGTGAATCAGTGGGTGGAAGATTTTTCTCTCTCTGTCACTCTACTTTTCAAATAAATAAGTAAATAATATTTAAGAGAGAGAGAGAGAATGAGACTGGAGCCAGCATTGTGGCGTAGTGGGTGAAGCCACCACCTGCAATGCTGGTATCCCATATGGGCGCCAGTTCGAGTCCCAGCTGCTCCTCTTCAGGCTCCCCGCTAATGGCCTGGGAAAGCAGTGGAGATGGCCCAAGTGCTTGAACTCCTGCACCGGTGTGGGAGACCCGGAAGAAGCTCCTGGCTCCTGGCTTTAGCCTGGCCCAGCCCCGGCCGTCCTGGCTATTTGGGGGGGTGGACCAGTGGATGAAAGACTTCTCTCTCTCTCTCTCTCTCCCTTTCTATAACTCTGCCTTTCAAATAAATCAAAAAGAAGGAGAAGAAGAGAAAGAGACAGGCCCTCAGTACAGGGATGAAGGCAGACGCACCGTCTTCAGCCAGACCCTGGGGGACCAAGGTCACTGCATCACCGTTGGCCTCTGCATGAACAGATCATCCCTTAACACCAAGACTTTTTTAAAAAGAAGTGACGGCGACAACGTGGCCTGCCAGATGTTCCAGGCACAACAGGGGAGTGACCGTGTGTTTCGGGGTGGGGAGGTGTGGAGGCCACTCCGATTAGATCAGAGGGCGTGGGGCTGGCCGAGAAGCACAGTTGAAGCGGGGTGGGGGAGAGTGGGGTTAATGATGGGGGGGGGGACCGGGACCGGGAGCCAGAGGCTGGGGCTTGGGGACAGGTTGGGTCAGACAGCAGCCGCAACTTCAAGACATCTCAGCACAGACACGCAGGTGTCCAGGGAGGGAGTGAGCTGAGGGTTACGGAGGAAGAAAGGCAATCAAGGGACAGAGCCGCGTGGACTGAGCCTCAGGGACTGATCAGCGGGCCAGGGTGCAGAGAAAGCGTTCGCAAACAACAGCAAGCAAACCAGGAGACCCGGGAGCCCAGAGAACATGCATTTCAGGCAAGGGGCTCAGACCCGGGCCCAACCAGGAAGTTGCACAAGGTCTCCAGCTGCGAGGGCCACGGGGTGGGGCTTAGAGAGTCCTGAGCAGGCAGTTCCCACGGAGGGGAGGGGGAGGGAGGGAGGACTGCTGCTGCGGAGTGAGTGGGCAGAGCAGCCAGGGGGGCAGGAGCGGCCTGCAGCCAATGAAACCAGCGGCGGGGAGGGGGAGGGGGGAAGCCAGGCCCCCTGCAAGGCAGCAGCAGCAGCAGCAAATTAACTGTCTTTCCTCCCAGCCGATCCAGATTTTCATTAGAGAAAGAAAGAGACTGCGAATCTGGGGGATTTAAAGGTCGTGCGAAAATCATGGAAACTTCTACTTGAGCCTGTTCCCACCTAAATAATTTCTGTTTGGAAAACAGGCAAAGCCGCTGAGACTCTCTCGGCCCTGATCCCCAAACGGAGGCCCTCAGACACCCCCTGAAAATGTGTCCCGACACACATTGCGCCCACGCAGAGGCTGGGTGGCCAGCGGCACCACGGGCGGCAGCCAGAGCCGCCCAGGAGGTGCCCCCCCCCGGGGACAGAAACCCGAGAGGCAGGGTCACAGGCTGTCCCACGGTTCCACAAAACGACCCACTATTTAGTAGCACCTACTGTGTGCCAGGTACTTTGCCCGTGGCTTCGCAATCCTTAATGTCACCCCGACTGCAGGTTGGGTATCAGGTCCCCCAGAAGCTCAACTGTTAAAGGGTCCTCCCCAGGGGTGTGCGATCTGGTGGGGTACCTAGTGGGGTGTCCTGGCTTTTTTCTCCCTCTTATTATCTCCACCATACTCAGAAGGAAACAACTTCAGAGAGGTTGAGTAACTTGCCTCGTCCTCACAGCTGAGTGACAGAGAGAGTGCTGGGGCCCAGGTGCACCTGCCTCCCGCTCCCACCCTGTGAGCTCAACCAGCCCCCGGCTGACCCTTAAAAATAGGAGGGGATAAGGAGGGGGTATTCATTACCACCTGTGACCAACCGCGATCGGCAAATGTCCCTTCATGTTAGCATGGCATTCCGAGTTCACCCTCTTCCCAAGTTTGGTTTTTAATTTTTCTGTACTTAATCAACTTTATTTAAAAAAAAAAAAAGTGGGGGTGATCATTCGCTCATCTCCTGTGAAGGCAGAGCCTGAGCCCCTCTCGTCTGCTGATTCGCTTTTGCTTTCACCGGAACATCACTTGTCAATCTCCCGAAAACCACACATAGTCCCGCCTCCACATCCTCCAGGCGGTGGGGTCCAGGACCCCCGCCCTCATCTGAAAGGATGCGGCCTCTGCATGGGAGGCACACACAGCCTCCCCCAAGCTCTGAGTCACCCCTGGACGACTTATCACAGCTGGCACCACCTACAGCTCTTTAAACACTTGTTACGCTGCGTCATTTATGGAATCATGACCAGAACAGAAGCAGGGAAGTGGGCATTTGGCCCGGTGCTGGAGACCCTGGTTAGGATGCCCGTGTCTCATAGCCCAGCGCCTGAGTTCAAGTCCCAGCTTCAGTTCCTGCTTCCGATTTCCTGCCAGTGCGCACTCTGGGAGGCAGCAGGGGACGGCTCCTGCGTCCCACATGGGAGACCCAGATGGAATTCCTGGCTCTTGGCTTTGGCCTGGCCCAGTTCCCGCCATCGCAGGCCTTTAGGGAGTAAACCAGCATATGGAAGCTCTATCTCTCAGTCTGTTCAATCTCTCTCTGATTTAAAGAAAAAAGTCATTTTTAAAAGTCTGTGTACAGGGCCGGCGCCATGGCTCACCTGGTTAATCCTCCGCCTGCAACACCGGCATCCCATATGGGCACCGGGTTCTAGTCCCGGCTGCTCCTCTTCCAGTCCAGCTTTCTGCTGTGGCCCGGGAGAGCAGCGGAGGATGGCCCAAGTCCTTGGGCCCTGCACCCGCATGGGAGACCAGAAGGAAGCACCTGGCTCCTGGTTTCAGATCGGTGCAACGCACCAGCCATAGCAGCCATTTGGGGGGTGAACCAATGGAAGGAAGACCTTTCTCTCTGTCTTTCTCCCTGTCTATATCTCTACCTATCAAATAAATAAATTTTTAAAAAGTCTGTACATTCAGTGCAGATGCCATCTTTGGGATATTCTGACTCCACGGTGGTCAAATGTGTGGATGCAGACCACCTGCTGTGGCTCACAACTGAGCACAGCCAGGCTCTGGTCCCCAGCCCCACCCATCTTGCCTTGCCCTGCTCCTGCTCGACTGTTTCTACCTCCCGAATTAAGACCAACATCTCCCGGTGGTAGAGGAGTTTTTCCTCTAGTCCCTCTTCACCTCCCCCAAGGCTTCCAGAACAATCCTAGCTCAGTGTTTTGAAATCCCTGGTCTACATTTTCGCTTCTACTCCCGTGTCAATGTATTTCATTCCTGGCCCAAGCAATAGGCTACGATCCTACTTTCTTTCTCTTTTTGTTTTCTCCTGGTAATGATTACCTCATTTTTCATCAACTTAGGTTTGTTTGCTTTGTGTTTCTTTTTTTAATAATTGACCAAATCTTTCCATGCCCTCAATATCATTTTCCACATGACCAAACCTGTCAGATAATTTGTCAGCCTCGTTTATTTTCCTAGGGACAAACGCCCTCACCCCCGGAGCCTTCTGACCTCCTGCTGCTCTGGGCCAGCGCCCATCTGGGCCCTGGCACAGCTGCCTTCCTGGTGTCCCTTTCGCATTATCCCAGGGCGCCCCTGCCCTCCTCACTCCTGGGTGGGAGCCCCATTCCCAGTCCCCCCCTTTCTCTCTCAACTCCCTGGTGGTAACGGAGCACATCTTCAGTCATTTCCTGAGAAGACTGACCCGGGACGCAGGTTCTTTCTGGAAAGTTCTTTCTTCCCCCCTCAGGACCAACTGGCAGTCCAGCTGGCAGGGAAGGCTACGTGGGAAACTTTCCCAGAGTTCTGAAAGGCATCGTCCCTTTGTCTTCAAACGTCCAGCGTTGCTATTGGGAAGGTTGGTGCTACGGAAGTTGTCAAATCGAAATGGAGTCACTTGCACCAAGCCCTAACCAAAGCCAACAAATAAAGCCAGGAGACGGTGCGGGGGGGCGGGGAATCCACTAAGCAGAGCTTCTCACTGGAGACCCTGCCAGAACCGCAGGTTTGCAGAAACACCACCTCACCTTCCACGTCACTTCCGCAAGTTCACCTGCGCAGCAGCTGTCTGCGCCTCAGCTGCCCTGGCTTCCACCTCACATCACTGCTTCCAAGTCTTTCACGGAATCCTCCCCCATGTCACCCTTTTGTGCTCTGCCACGGCCACCTACTCCCATTGCAATGCCCGTCTATTTGCAAATGACCTCCAGCAATCCGTAGATGACCGCTCCCTCGGTGGTACCTGGCTGGACAACACCATTGTTCTCCTCCATCCTTCCATCCATGTGCAAGGCTGGGACCAGCGGAAGGGGAGCGGAGTGCGCGTCTGAGAAGATGCAGACGTTTAAGGCAGTGGACCAAAATCCAGCCATCACAATGCCCGTCCTACAAATAAATAAAGACCAGACCCAGACCTGACTCAGCCTCGCTCACCTAGCCCCCCACCACACCGTGGCGGTTTGTCTTTTTTTAAATGCTGCTGTTCTGTGTATGATAGGTTATTTTGCCTTATGTTTTTTTAAAGAGTGAAGCTTGTGTGTGTTTGTGTTTTTAAATATGTATGTATTTATTTGAAAGTCAGAGATACACAGAGAAAGAAGGAGAGGCAGAGAGAGAGAGAGGTCTTCCATCCGATGGTTCACTCCCCAGATGACCACAATGGCCAGAGCTGTGCTGATCCAAAGCCAGGAGCCAGGAGTTTCTTCTGGGTCTCCCATGTGGGTGCAGGGGCCCAAGGACTTGGGCCATCTTCCACTGCTTTCCCAGGCCAGAGCAGAGAGCTGGATCGGAAGAGGAGCAGCTGGGACTCGAACCATCACCCATATGGGATGCCGGCACTGCAGGCCGCAGCTTTAACCTGCTGCACCATAGCACCGGCCCCGCTTGTGTGTGTCTTGACCATGAGTTTTTTGCCCCCCCCCCCTTAAATGCTATCTATGCCTGAGGCAAGTGCCTGTCCCAGCCAGCACTCTCCAGAAACCTCTCAGAACTGCTCTTGACCCCTGCCTCTGAGAGTTCTAACGACAAGCCTGAAGGCATGTATTGTTTTTCATGGCCTGAGTTGGGTACTCAAGGGACCAAAGCAGCTGGGAACTCCAGTCCTTTCTTTCTGGGTAATTTTCTTACATTACTTCTTTTTAAAGATTTATTTATTTGAAAGGCAGAGTTACAGAGAGGCAGAGGCAGGGACAGGGAGACATCTTCCATCTGCTGGTTCACTCCCCAAATGGCTGCGACAGCCGGAGCTGGGCTGATCTGAAGCCAGGAGCCAGGAGTTTCTTCCGGGTCTCCCACATGGGCACAGGGGCCCAAGGACCTGGGCCATCTTCTCCTGTTATCCCAGGCCATAGCAGGGAGCTGGATCGGAAGTGGAGCAGCCGGGACTCGAATCGGCGCCCATATGGGATGCTGGCACAGCAGGTGGGGCTTTACCCACTATGCCACAGCGCCGGCCCTCCAATTATGGTTTCTTTGACCTTATATATTCTGTGCCATTTCCCTCTTGCGTCATGTTTTCCTCAGGAGAAAATTCGATGCCAGGGACCTTTGACTGTGTTCACGGAATGTGAAGTCTCAGAGAGAGCAGGCCTTAGGGCTCCGGAAGGGAGCACTCCCACCAAGGACAATCTGCCTCCCCACGCCGCAACGGCCGACCTCAGACCCCTAAACACAAGCATGCATCGGGCCTTTCTCTGGGGTGCCTCAGTCTCCCCGCGGGCTTAGGAGTAGGGTGCAGACACAAGTCTGGTGTCTTGGAGATGGGGGGAACTGGAGGGGGGCTGGGAGTCTCATCAGTTTTTGTGCTGACTCAACCCTGCCCTCAGCCGGACTCTGCACCCCATCCTTCTCCACACCTCACATCTCTGAGACCCCAGGCTCTGGTGGGGCGTGGGGGAACCGTCACCTGGCTGTGCAGGGGTAAGGTCGGGGCTTGAGGGTCTACTTGCTCCTGACACAGCTTTCACCCTGCACCCCCGGCCCCCGCCCTCAGGCCCATCCACATCTCTCTCCTCCGCACCTGCTGCTCCGACCCATCCAGGCTTCTGCAGAGAGGAGTCAGCCGGCTTCTCCCCAGTGGCGCCTTCCGCACCCCTAGGGTCCAGGGGCTCCGCTTCCTCCTCTCTGCTGAGCCATCCGGGCTCCCGTTGGTGGCTTTCTCCCTCCGTATACTGAGATGTGGGAGTAGAGAGAGCCTGGTGCTCCACCGCCATGCCATGCAGGCTTCTGTCCCTTCTTAAAGATGTATTTACTTGTTTGAAAGGCAGTGTGATGGGGGAGGGAGAGAGAGAAAGGGAGAGAGAGAGAGAGAGAGAGCGCTTCCACCCACTGGTTCACTCCCCAAGTGGCCAGGGTGGAGCCAGTCCAAAGCCAGGAGCCCAGGGCTCCATCTGGGTCTCCCATGTGGGTGCAGGGGCCCAAGCACTTGGGCCGTCCTCTCCTGCAGTCCCAGGAGCATTAGCAGGGAGCCGGATCTGAAGCGGAGCGGCTGGGACTGGAACCAGTGCTCTGATAGGGATGCTGGCATCACTCGCTGCACAGCGCCGGCCCCAGGTGCGCACTTCTGTTCCCACGCTCCTTGCGTTTCCTGTGCGGCACTCAGCCGGTGAAGGGACCGGGAACCTCTCTCTTCCCCCATGAGCTCAAAGAGGGGACACGAGCTGATCTCACAGGGAAGGCAGGGAAAGGCGACCCCAGGGCGCGGAGCTGTGTGTTCCGGGGGGGAAAGGGAACGGAGCTTCCTGCCTGGAGTGTCCCCACACAGGCGGGGGGGGGGTCCTCCTCGACCCCCGCAGACAGGGCGCACGAGGGAGAGGAGGCCCCGGCCAGATCCGCCCCTCCCGCCACCTATGGCGCATGTGATGGGAGAGGGGAACACCCACAAAAGCCACGGCCCCGGGGAATCCACGGGACTCGTGGCTAACAGGACGGGGCACGGGGGCAGAGGGAGGAGGCCAGTTTGAAGGTGGAATTTCTGGTTTGGGCAGGACTGGTCACGGAGGCGGGACACGCCCGGGAAGCAGGAGCGAGGGGAACGGGGTAGCGTCTACATTACGGTTCTCCCACCTCCGGCCTCCAGGCGTCAGCCCGGGGTTACCCCGTTACCCGGCACACGCACCCCGCCGCCGCCCCGGGCTCAGCCGGCCTCTCGCCGCCCTCCTCTCATTTAGCCACGGGACACTCCCGTGGTAAGTGCATGAGGCGCCAATGTCCCCTCTCCTCAGGCCCCTCAGGACAGCGGGGACCCTCAGGGCGCCCGGCTGCCTGCTCTGCACCGCGTCCGTTTCCCTTGACTACGACAAAGTACCCGAGACTGCCGGCTTGTGAGAAAAAGGGGTGACTCAGCCCGCAATTATGGAGGCTGAAAGCAGCCAACGGGAAGCCGGTAGCCGGGGGGAGGGGCCAGCTCCCTCTCTGACACCGCACTGGGGGCCAAACTCCCAACACATGAAGCTTTCGGAGACCCGTTCAAACTAAATGCAAACGGCAGTACCTGGGGCCCCTCCCCTTCGCCAGGCCAGGCTGTCATCTGCCGCCACCCCTCCACTCTCAGCCCCTCTCGGACCGGATCTCGGGTCGAGTGACAGCAGGGCTGCCCCAAACCCCTGAGCCGCCGAGTCCCAGCGGTGGGGAAGCTGGAGGCCCCCGCGGGGAGGGGCAGGGGGGGAAGAGGAGTGGATTCACCGGTTGTTATGGCAACCAGGGCTCCCAAGATGGAGGGGAGGGAAAGGCGGCCCTGCTCCAGAGTCGCCATGGCAACCCAGATCCTCCACACCGGTTTTGAAGACAAAAACCACACTCCCCCTCCGCACACACTTAAAAAGAAAGTACCCAGGCCTCCGAGGGGTTCTTCACGGTTCAGAGAGCCGAATGGAACGGGTCAAGGTCTCCTGCTCTTGCGCTGTCACAGACTTTTCAGGGAGAGGGACTTCCACTTTTCCTGGCAAGCCACAGATGCACCCAGCAAGCACTGAGCAGACCTACTGGGTGCCGGGGAGGGGAGGGGGACCCAGACCCTGTCCTCAGAGAGGCAGCCTGGCATTCACACATCGGGGCCAGGCTGTGGCAGGGAGGAGACTGCTCCGCAGGGACCAGTTCCAAAGCGCAGGTGCACACCCTGCCACACCCAGCCATCCTAATTCCAAGACTCTGCCCGCAGGAATATTTGCCTCCCAAGGTGACACGTGCAGCCTTATTCACAGCAGCAAAGAATGGCAAAGAACCTGCTAACACAAATGCTGGCCCTGCCATGCGGGGTGGATACTCAGGTGCACGCGTGTGGAAGCACACACGAGCCCTCCCACGGCGGGGATCAGTGCTGGCCAGCCAGGTCAGCCAGGGGGCGGTCTCTCTTACTCATGAACATTTGGAGCCATTACATGACGGGTATTACTTTTATAATTTAAAGAAAATGCTGAATATTTGGGAATGTGTAGGATGACTGGTCCTATAATGAGATCCGCGTAGGTGGACGGCGAGTGTGTTGTAGGTTAGGATACAGTGCAAAAGCACCGCACCAGGCACCTACCACGGGAGCACTGGGGAGGGAGGAAGAAGAGGGAGGGAGAGGGGGTGGGTGGGACGAAGCTGGGTCTCGTAGCCTGCATAAAATTCTATCATAAGGAAGAGGGGAGAGGCACTTTGGCTCAAGGGGCAGGCAGCAAGAGCCAAGGCTGGGAGGCGTGGAGGCTGCATGGTTGGAGGATTCTGAGGCAGGGGCGGGGCGGGGGGTGGCCACAGATGTACAGAGACAAGAGTCTACAGAGATCTCCAGGCGGATGCAAGGCGGGACGGACCAGAGGCCAGGGGACAGCTTTGGGAAGCAGCTGGAATCACACAGCGGAGATGGGATGAGGCCCCCTGCACTGGGGGCACCCGGGAAGTGACAGGAACCATTTCCTAAGCAGGGTGGGCAGTAGTTCACAGTGGTTCTGAATCCGTGCACTTGGACTTGTGTTCTTTCTTCTTTTTTTTTTCTTAAGATCTGTTTGTTTACTTACTTATTTGAAAGGCAGAGAGACAGAGAGAGATATTCCCATCCACTGGTTCACTCCCCAAATACCTGCACCAGCCAGGGCTAGACCAGGCCAAAGCCAGAAGCTGGGAACTCCATCCGAGTCACCCACAGGGATCACAGGGGTCCAAGCACTGGGGCCGTCCTCTGTCACTTTCCCAGGCGCATTGGCAGGGAGCTGGTTCAGAAGCAGAGCAGCCGGGACTCAACTGGGCACTGGGATATGGGACGGCGGCTTGACCCACCGCACCAGGACACCTGCCCGGATGGCATCCTTTGATGTCTGGGTGATCCAGGTCACACTCTGAGATCCAGGTCTCCTTCGAGGGGGTGCTCAGGGTGACAGGCCGAGGCTTGAGGCAGTGCAGGGTGTGGGAGTGATGGCTGGTGGTGGCCAGGGTGTCCCACAGCAGTAGTCTAGGAAGTACCCGCTGCCACCTGCTTCTCTGGTGCCCTGGGTTGTCCCGGGCCCCTGTGATGATGCTGGGACCGACAGAGCACTGGATTCAGCAGTCAGGAGCCTTGGAAGCTAGAAACACCCTGTGCTGCCAGTCAGCAAGCTTGTACGGAACCATCCCCAGACTCGGGCCAGTGGGGGAAGTCCGGGACCCAAACCCCGCCCTCCTAGAGGAGAAAGTGATAGAGCCCCGGGGGAGGAGGGTCGCAAAGCTGCCGGTGTGTCTCTGCATTTATCACGTAGGCTGAAAGAGGAGACCGGGCTGACCATGGTGCCCCCACCCCTGGGCGACACGCGGCTGCTCATTTTCATTTAACTTCCACAAAACCCACAGCCAGGGCGGGCACTGCGGGTCCACACCGCGGGCGCAACGCGGACGGACCAAGTGCCTACCAGGGGCCAGCAGGCACTTCCAGCAGCAGGTACTGGAGCTGCGGACACGGGTCCAAGACAGCTATCGCATGAGGATAAGGGTTGCTCAACAAACAAGTCTGGGAGCCAGACTGATGCTGCCTGCACCTGTTGGGTGATTCCTGCAGCGACTCTGTTGAAAACAACATTTCCCAAACACACAATGGCCATGGAATCCCCTCCCTTTCCAGAAACTTCTTTTCTGGACTGTGCAAACACATTTGGGCAAATATGGACCCGCCTGACAGTCGCAGAGCAGAGAAGTGGGATCTGTGGGGGCCGGCACTGTGGCGCAGTGGGCTAATGCCCTGGCCTGAAGCGCCAGCATCCCATACGGGTGCGGGTTCGAGTCCCAGCTGCTCCTCTTCCCATCTAGTTCTCTGCTATGGCCTGGGAAAGCAGTGGAAGATGGCCCAAGTCCTTGGGCCCCTGCACCCACATGGGAGACCCAGAAGAAGCTCCTGGCTCCTGGCTGTGGATCAGCGCAGCTCTGGCCATTTCGGTCATCTGGGGAGTGAACCATCGGATGGAAGGCCTTTCTCTCTGTCTCTACCTCTCTCTGTAACTCTGTCTTTCAAATAAATAAAATAAATCTTTAAAAAAAAAAGTGGGATCTGTGACAAGCAAACAAAGGCTACAGCCTTGGACTGAGGCCCCCCGACACCCCCCAAATCCTCCTCCCAGGCCTCAGGATACAAGCCTACAGGACCTGCTGCTGCAGCCGCCCCCAGCCGGCCAGTCGAGGACCGGAGCCTGGCTGTGCACAGCTCGGCTGCGGCTGGGGACTGGCTGCTTTCAGGTGGGCGGCGGGGCCAGGCATCTGGAACAGGCCGGGCACAGATGCTCTGGGCGCACTTGGATCCCAGCCTGGGCTCCTGCTCCCTTAATTCCAATATTTGGCTGCCGCTTTTGCCTAATTCATATTCCAATGTCAACACTGCATAATCTCCCCCAAACACTGACAGCGCCGAGCTGGGAAAGAGGAGAGAGACCCCAGGGGATGGCGAGGAGGGGTGACAGGAAGTGCCCCCCCAGGACCCCAGTGTGGGGTACAAGACAGGAGCTCCAGGCCAGAGATTCCCACGCCCAGAGATGGGGCACGCGAGCCCCGCCTGGGAGGGCGGCCCCGAGAGCGGGACCCTCGGTTGGACACCTGGATCTAGCGCCAGCTCTGCCTCTAATGGGCTGTGTGACCTTGGGCGGGCCACCCCACCTCTCTGGACTTCATTGATTCTAGGAAGTGGGGAGGAGGCAGAGGAGCCCTTGGCCATCAGCACAGGCAAGGACAAAGCTGGCCCTGGCCTGGCCCCTGGCCTCCAACACCCTTCCCTGACCACACAGCCCTCACCGTGGAGCATGGACAGGGTGCCCCCTCCCCCGCCCCGGCTGTGAAGGGTCCGGAGCCGCTGGAACAAGTCGGAGCCCCTCCCCCCCAGGCCACGGCCTGCCTCATCTCACGAGGTTCACCCAGAGTCCCACGAGGAGGAGACTGTTGTCGACCCATTTTACAGGGGAGGAAACTGAGACTTAGCAATCGGCCCACGGTCTCACAGCCGGAAGTGAACCCGGGGGCCCTTGCTGTCTGTCTAGGCGGGACCTGGAAGACGGACGCCACGCCCACTGCCCAGCGAGGGCTGCGGGTCCGAGCGCACAGCAGCAGGATGTGGCTGAGAGCGGCCGATGCCGTGGGGAGCGCGCGTGGGGCAGCCTGGGCCTGTGCTCAGCTCCCTCTGGCCGTGGGAGCCCCGTGTCCCCCGCCCCGACCGGCCTCCTCCCCCATCCCCAGCCCCGGTGCTGACGTAAACTCCCCGAATTCAGTGCCCTCCCCCCAGATCTGCCCCCAGGGCCACGCACAGCCACCATCCGGAGGAGGCCCGTGGATGCGTGGGTACCAGCGCGCAGTGTGACCCGCGCATGCTCAGCAGACCCGGAGCGGGCTGTCCCAGTCCGGCGGTATCCGGCCGCGTTACAGCCTCAGCTCACCACACCTTCGCGGCCCCCGGGTCCCAGCCGTCGGCTCGAGGCCTGCTCTCTCTGTGTCTGAACACGCGGCTCCACAGGCCGAGACTTCTTGTTCAGAACAACTCCCGCTCGGTGCCGGGCACTGCCCCTAGAAAAGTCCGTCCAGCGATGGAGGGCCCGAGGGGTCCTCTTCCCCGAGCGGCTCGAACCAGCAGACACCGACGCAGGGTTCAGGCAGAGCAATGGCAAATGGCCTCTGTCCCGGGGCAGGCGTGCGGCTCGGTGGTGAAGTCGACACTCGGGACACCGCAGTCTGGATTAGCACACCGGGCTCCAGCCCCAGTTCCCCCGCTTGCTGGCCACTTCCTGCGGCCCCACACCCTGGGAGGCAGCAGGGGTGGCTCGAGTACTTGGGTCCCTGCCACTCTCGTGGGGGACCCGGATGGCGTTCAGAGTTCCGTCCCCCCCCCCCCCCCCCCCCCCCGTCCGGGTGGTGGGGGGATTTTGGACGGAAACCCAAAGATCCAAACCCAAGAGCAAAGAATTTTCTCTTTTTAAAAAAACCAAAAGAAAAGGGGGGGTTTGAAGGTATAAATATTTTTTTTCTAAAAAAAGCCTTAGTCCTATTGGAAAAGCCAATTTGGGAAAACAGATTTTAGGTCTGTGTTCGAGTTTAATGGGCCAGCTCTGGCTCTGCTGGGGGAGCCTGGATTGTCTACTTCCCGGGTTCACAGCTCACTAGGCTAATCCTCCGCCTTGCGGCGCCGGCACACCGGGTTCTAGTCCCGGTTGGGGTGCCGGACTCTGTCCCGATTGCCCCTCTTCCAGGCCAGCTCTCTGTTGTGGCCTGGGAGTACAGTGGAGGATGGTCCAGGTCCTTGGGCCCTGCACCCGCATGGGAGACCAGGAGAAGCACCTGGCTCCTGGCTTCGGATCAGCGCGGTGCACCGGCTGCAGCGCGCCGGCCGCGCCGGCCATTGTGGGGTGAACCAACGGCAAAGGAAGACCTTTCTCTCTGTCTCTCTCTCACTGTCCACTTTGCCTGTCAAAAAAAAAGGGGGGGGGCCCATTACCAAAGGCTGCTTGTCCCACTGCCATGAACTGCCCAGAACAGGCAAATTCATACAGGCAGAAAACCTACCACGGGCTGTCATGGGCAGGAGGCAGGGTCGGGGGAGGGACTGCGAGGGGTGTGGGTTTCCTTTTGAGGGGGCTGGCGTAATGGCACTGTGGGTTAGGCTGCCACCTGCCATGCCGGCATCCTACATGGGCGCTGGTTCAAGCCCTGGCTGCTCCACTTCCAATCCAGCTCCCTGCTAATGCACCTGGGAAAGGCAGGGGGAAATGGCCCAAGGGCTTGGGCA